GAGCATTGAGAGCATATCATTTGATCTTCTCCATAACGGGCCATAACTTTCTGGCTGATATAGAGCATGTTGTTTAAAAAGACATTGCTCTGTGGTTGTACAGTATCAAGCACAACAAGGCCCTAGTCTGTGATTGGATGCTATGTAGATGCTACCAAAGTACAAGAAATTGCTTTGATTTTTGTAATTTCATAACATCATTGGAGAATGGCTGGATAAATACATTAATCTTCTTAGCATAATCTCAATTGTTCAACTAAAAAGAATAAAAAAAAGATGAGCGATAGATGTGAGATGGTGGGCTTCAGCAGACTTTTGGGAAAGACTGCTAATGGCCCTCTCCCCCACTCTGAAAGCAGGAGGGTGGGGGGGATGTAGTAGTGCTGCTTCTGCATAATACAAATTTCCTTTATATGGCAGAGCTCCTGAATCCCGCTGACCTTGTTTCCTTCTGCTGCACGAGATGGACCTGCTAGAAGCTTCCCTTTGAATTGATTTGAATAGGAGAACTTCTGGTTAATTTTTTCCCCAACATTCAAGAATTTAGCAGATGTTGGGATACTATTGATTCGTTTAGAAGGATGACTCAACTAACAGTCCTTATTGTCACAATACATAAGTGTCCCAGTGGGGAACTTAACCAAGGCTGTGTGGTATTACAGAACCAACAAGCCGTAGGAACAAAAGACGTCTTGAGGAAGAAATATCTTCTGTGAAGGCAAATAGCGTTAGGAAAAGCCAAGAAAATTTGGATCAGGGGAGTGGCTTCTAAATAGATTTTCTGTGAAGCCCCAGCAGGTCTTAAGGAAATTAAGCTGATGGCTTCTTGTGTTTTATTAATGTTCCTTAGTGTCTGAGAACTCTGTCCCTCCTAGGGTATGAATCAAAAGTATATTAATCACAATTTGACTGCTTGAGCCAAAGGAGAATATTCCCTGACTGGTGATGCTTTTCTAGAGCTCTAACATCTAGGTGCTAAAACTGTTACATGCTTTCAACACTGTCTGTTGTCTGAGTTCTAATACTGTCCCCTGGCATGCTATATATTTGTAGGCAAACAGTCTCTCAACCTCTTCTTTAGTTTTCTTTGGGTGTGCTTTTTTCTTTTGTATTAAATGAAAGAGGGAATCCTACTTGCCTTCTTTACTTGGGTGTTGTAAGGACTACTTATTTCAGGACTTGAAAAATCTTTTTACCTATTTGCTAGTTATGGGGGGAGGAGAGGGCCTAATCTGTCATTTTTGACAGGACTCAAACTTTAATTTAAAAACTTTTTAAAAAAAGAATTGTAGTACCTAAGCTTGTAAAGACTACTTCACACATGTAAACTGGTTCTGCATTATTTTCCTGAGCCTGCAGACAGACAGCCCTCTTTCTTATAGATGCGATGCCTTTGCAGGGCTATGATGGTGATCGGTACATCATAAGAATTTGACAGAACAGAATAAGATGGGAGTGAAATGTGATTAAAACATGTCTTACTATTCAGATACAATTCTGAATACATTCGGAGAGCAGATTTCTTCTTTGGGCACTTGTCAGGGTAAAACTGCATTTTAAAATGACTTTGTCATTTATGTATTCTTTCTATTTGAACAACTGACATTATACGAGGAAGATTAATGTATTTCTCCAGCCATTTGCCAATGACATTATAAAATTACAAAAATCAAAGAAACTTCTGGTTCAAATTAAGATTTTCTTGGTGTAATAGTACTGTTTATAATCTAAAATTAATGACAGAGGTTTAATATTATTAGAAAACCTATTGTAAAAGCTTTCAGCAGTTGTTATACTTTTATTAGTAAACAGTAATTAAGAAGTTACAGAGCAAGCTGATTGGTGAAAGCCAATTGCTAACAAAAGTTAAATGGAGACCATTATATTGGTTGAGAAATGTCCCTAATCTAGTATATTTAAATTCTTTTGATGTCAATTTCATTTTCCATGTAAATGTCTTGTATGCATTGTGAGAGCCTTATAATGGTGCTGATTGTGTGTGCACAGAAATGAGATACAGTTGATTTTTATCCGCATGTGGTTGGCAGTGGAGGCAATAGACATTTTGCCAGCATCATTTTCAAACTGAGTTTCAAAAAAAAATTTTTGTTTTCAAACTGCTGTCAGGGAGCATGAAGAAAGCACTGCTGAAGATGATTCTGACCATCATTAATACAAACAGAGTGCTCCAGATGTATTGGAATTCAGGCAGGTTGGTGGCTTTGGAGGAGATGTCACCACAGGAACCACCATGATGCTGTGCGGATGCTGATGGAGAAGCAAGAGGATGAAAGCTAGCAATTACTTCTACATGACTTTTTCCTGAATTGGCTTTACTCAGTAGAGCACCACTTCTGGGCTCAGCCAGCCTGTACTGACTGGTGGGACAGGACACTGTTGCAGACTTGGGTTGACCAGCAGTGGCTGCAGAACTTTAGGATGCAGAGGGCTGCTTTTCTGGAAAACTGCACAGACCTTATCCTCGATTTGCAATGCTAGATCACCTTCTCAGTGTGGAACGGCATGTGGCCATCACCCTCTGGAAGCCTCAACACCCCTGATTGCTGGTGGTCAGAAGCTGACCGATTTGGTGTTGGCAAATCTACTGCTGGTATTGTAGTCATGTAAGTGTATGCTGTTATTAAGAGAGTGCTATTATCCTGGATAATAAACCTTGGAGATTATTATTATGATGTAGGAGATTATTGATGACTTTGAACACTTGTGGTTTCCATATTGCATAGGGGCCATTGATGGAAGCCACATGCCTGTTTGTGTCTGTGACCCCACTGCCAGGCATTGGAATTAATCAACAGAAAGAGGAAGTTATCCTTGATTATACAAGGCCTTCTTGGTCATTATGGCAGGCTTGTTAACCGTAATGTGGGATGGTCTGGAAAGTGCCACGGTGCCAGGATCTTTAGAAAACTTTCCTGTTTTTTGTAATGAAATGAATTTTTTTCTTCCAAAACCACTATGGACGTTAATGGAATTGTAATTCTATCTGTTATGCTGGGAGACCCAACTCACCCTTTCCATGGTTTGTTAATCCTTTTACTGGACACTTGAATAGAGAAAGGAGCTGCTTAACTATACCCTGAGTAGCTGCAGAATGACTGAAGTATGCATTTGGAAGACTGAAAGGAAGGTGGAAGCGACTCATGACCAGGCTGGATGCTTCAGAGAAAGATCTGCCTTTTGCACAATGCACAACGACTATGAGAGCAAGGGAGAGCCTCTCCAAAGGGTAGGAAGTGTCGAGACATTATGAACAGCTGGAATGGAAGGGAAACACTATGTATAGTTGTTGCACTTGGAAGTCAGCAATATCTTGTAACGTGTGCACCAAACTAGACTACTATCTTTACCTAAACGTCTCATTCTAATACTGCTGATCAGTGCAAAGTGCTGTGTGAAATAAATAGGACTTTGCAGCTTCAATGCATGTACTACAGTGGATTTAATAATATTATGTCCTGCAACTAGTGAGTGCTTGAGATGCCTTTTGGAACACTTGCAACCACAATGCCATATAGAATCTATGCAATATGAAATGACTAAAAGAACCTCTCTAATCTCAAATGCCCAGTCTACCTCGGTTAACTTCACATGTATTAAAATCTAACATAGCTCAAGGTCGTGATCAAATTGTGGTCTTAAGTGTGTTTTTGACTGGTATATTCCTTGCTATGTTTTTGGCTACAATAAAACTGCATTGGTGTGATGTTTATTTTTTTTTCTTGGCTTGGTTACCATCTAGCTCAGCTGTAGAAGGATAGGCACAGGTGGTTGAAGAGTAGGGATAGGAAACATCAAGCTTCATGGGGCAGGGAAGTGACAGTGCCCTCTTCTGTCAGCACCGGATTAAATATATTTGGGTGGCAGACAGGGTGAGGGGGGAAGGTACTTTTCATTCTCCAGCTTGGCACTGGTTTGAGCATGTTGTGGGGGCTAGAGAAAGGCAGAGTGAGCAGAGGATGGAAGGTGTTGCCTCGGGGTGGAATGTGACTGCCCTCTGTTGTAAAATCCACCAGACACAGTGGTGTGCAACCAGTCCCTGGAAGAAAGACGGTTTAGAGGGGCTATGGAAACCCAGAGGACAGATAATTGTGGTATAGCCCACTACGTTTTCCCTACCCAGCATTGTCACTGTTTTTTTTTTATTTTGGTCTGGGTCTCATGAGATATCTTATGCCCCAGTTATTTTACTATCTGAGCACCTCACAATCTCTTCAATGTATTTATTCTCACAACACCCTTGTGAGGAAGGAAAGTGATTTTTTTACAGATGGGAAACTGAGGCACAAAGTGACTTGGGGAACATTGACTCAGCAAAAAAAGACCGGTGAGTCTCAGAGCCCGTCTCAGCTGTCTTGGGATGGGGCTGCAGGGCTAAAAATAGCCGTGTAGATGTTCAGGCTCGAACTGGAGCCTGGGCTCCAATACCCTTTCCTTTATTGAGTTTCAGAGCCCAGGCTCTAGCCTGAGTCCAACCATCTACACTGCTATTTTTAGCCCCACAGCATGAACCCAAGTCCATTGACCTGGGCTCTGAGACTTGCTGCCCAGGTCTTTTTTTTGCTGTGTAGAGGATACCCTAAGTGACTTGCCCAAAGTCATGCAGGAAGTCTGTAGTGGAGCAGAAATTGAATCCAGGTCTTTTCAGTTGCAGGCTAGCACCCTACCCACTGGGAGAGCCTTCCTCCTATCCATCCATGTCTCTGACTGGGTCGTCACTGACTTCTCCAGCTGGTTTTGAGGCATAGTGAAAAGATCTTGGCTGTCCAGGGTCATTTGCTCCTGGTCAGGGCCTGTGGTTGGCTGTATGGTTTTTGAAAAGTTTCTGTCTCATCACAGGACATGGCCAAACTGTCCAAAATTTACTGGGATTCTGTGATGGCATCTCAGGCAAAAATCAGGTCCATCTCCTCACAGTATGCACATGTGCTAGGAATGTTACTGGAGGTCTTGTGTTTGTCTTTGGTTACTTTGCAATTCTTCCCAGGTTTTTGGCTTTCCCTGATGTGTGTTGTGGGAACACCCATTCTCCAGCATTTGCTCTAATGGTAGATCTTTGCTTTCTGGCAGCTACTGGAAAGATGAGACTGAATTTGCTCCTCTCCCCAGAGGGCAAGGAATTCAAGGCTCTCCTGATGGGACCATGAGGAAGTGGTGTCTGTGACCTTGACATGAGTTAGAATTGCAAACAAAGGGGGCGGGGGGTGTCTCCAGTCAAGATGAACCTGGAGCAGTGGAAGGTGCACAGGTAACCAGATAGAGTAACAATCCAGATGTGAAGTAATGCAGAGTGAACGAATAGTGGAAGGGCTACCTGAAGTGATATAGTTCACTCAAACTGGGGATGCTTCCCCATGACCCTTATAGTAGTATAACTCATTCTGAAATAGTTGTCACTTCCAAATTGGATTAATTATACGTAGTGGGATAAAAATCAAGATGAAGTGAGAAAAGATCATTTGTGAATGCAAGGCAACTCACGCTGAAAAAACTAAAGCTATATGGTAAAAACTGTTTTATCAACAAAAAGCCTCAGGCATCACTGTAAAGAGGAAATGTTGGAGTTACCCTAGTGTTATGCTTTTTTCATCAGCTATGTTAATTAGACAGGACAATACTATTTTCTATAATGTTGAAAATAGAGTGTTTTAGAATGAGCACGGGGAGAGGGGGAATCCTTGGAGTTTTGCCATTGGTCTAGCTGAATCTGGGTTGTCACTGGTTACTTGATTTTTTTTTCCCCTAATGTTTGAGACTAGTTGAAAGTTAGAAAGGTCTTCTGCAGTGCGTGTTGTTTTTGAAGACTGGCTGGGCTATAGTGCTTTTCTGGGGATCTGGCAAGTTCACTTCTGTGAAGGAGACACTGATGGCTTCTGTAGCTGACCGTATAGTTCTTAACTGTCTTTCACCCTTTTAAAATTTACTAATTTAACTAACATTTTATTGTACAGTTGATGCGTGGGCTTTGTGTGCGTGTCTGTGTCATGTTGCTGTGTAGTGGCTGACCCACGCAGAGATAATGGATTTATTAGTAATAGTATTAAGAAGATCATCTCCCTTAGCTCCGGTGTTAAAAGCCTCTTGCCTTTTCTTGAAGTGAGGGGACCCAGGTTTTAGTCCCAGTCCATGGGGACAGAATGCACCCCTGTATTCACACCCTGTACACTATTGTAATAAACTTTGTACAAGGCATGTCATGTGAGGCATCCTTTGAGAACTCGTAACATGCTAATCATTAAGGCTACATTTTAATCATGGGTATTTTTAGTAAAAGTCATGGACAGGTCATGGGCAGTAAACAAAAATTCAAAGCCCGTGACCTGCCCGTACTAAATCTTGGCAGGAGGGCAGCCTGGGGGGGGGGCGCTGCGAGTGCTTGGGGTGGTGGTGACTCGTGATCGGGGTAGGGGGCAGGGGCACGTGGCCCGGGACCCCTGCTGGTGCTGGGGGGAGGCTCCCTGCCCGGCTCCGCGCCTCCCCAGAAGTGGCGGCATCCCCCTCCCTCAGCTCCTAGGCGAAGGCGTGGCCACCTCTGCCCTGAGTCCTGGCTTTGCAGCTCCCGTTGGCCAAGAATCATGGCCAATTGGAACTGAGGGGGCGGTGCCTGCAGGCGGAGGCAGTGTGTTGAGCCCTCTGGCTGCGCCCCCACCTAGGAGCCATGGGATGTTGCCGCTTACAGGGAGGCCCCCCCCCCAAGGTAAGTGCCGCCCAGAGCCCCCTCTCCTGCGCCCCAGCCCTGAGCCCCCTCCCCCCCTTCCACAACAGCAGCAGGAGGTTGGATGTGGGACACGATGGCCCGAGACTGCCCCCGCAGCGGCCGGTGCGGCTGACCCAGGGGCTCAGGCAGCCCCTGAGCCAGCCGCACCAGCCACTGTGGAAGGCACTGAGGTCCTGGAAAGTCACCGAATCCGTGACAAACAATCAGTAAAATGCATGTAGCACCATCATGTGTAAAGTTATGAACTATGATGCTGTGTATAAGAAAGCTGACCATTTATATCACTGTTACATAATTTCCATAAATTTTATACAAAGTGTATCATGTCAGGTGTCAATGGAAAAGTTATGTTTTGCTAAGCATGATTATACTGTTTATAGGCATGTATCATCTTTGTATCTGAAGTTTATGAATATTGGCTATGTGCTTGTGTTTTAAACCTGTGTTTGTTTTCCTGGATGACACCCTCCAGATAAATTTACATCACATCTAGACAGCTATGTATTGATGGCCCATCAAGGACACTCAGCTCTCACAATGGGCCATAGAAGAAACTCATCCCGCCCAGATATCTCTTCCTGAGGATGCCTCAGACAGCAAGGGGCCTATGGCCACCCACTGAGAGTCTGCAAATGGTGATATGCTCATGTGACCCTGGACTCCATCTTGGACCAGTAACTTACCGCACATAAGGGCTATGGGCTTCATTTGGGACAGTACATTTCCATGCACATGGCAGAGGATATAAAAAGACACCTGAGACATCTCCATGTTGCCTCTTTTTCCTGCCCTAATTGTCTGGACTATGGATTTCAACTAAAAGGAGCATTTTGAACTATAGACTGAAGACCTTCCAATCTTTTGGAAGTTACCAGAGGGACTTTACAAGCCAGCAGTCTATTCCATCAAACCTGATATAAGGACTTTGCAATCATTTGTATTTATATGATCTGTTAACCATTTATAACTCTGTTCTTTTCTTTTATTAATAAATATTTAGTTGAACTCTGGGGGAGTTTGGTCAGTAAGTGCTGGAAATGTGATGAAAAACTTTGCTTGAATTTAATATACTGTAATTTTTTAAGTTAGGCACTAAAAAGCATTTTGTCTTTACAAGAAAATAATCATTTCTGAATGTTATGCCTCATTGCTTGTACTCACTTAAAATCTATCTCTTTGTACTTAATAAACTTGTTTTATTGTTTCATCTAATCCAGTGTGTTTAAATTGAAGTGTCTGGGTAACTCCATGTAGGGTGGTAAATTGTGCGTATATTATTACCTTTAAAGGAATAACGGGCTTCATATAGTTGGACTGTCCAGGAGAGGGCTGGGCAGTATATGACATACATTTCTGGGGGGAAATCTGAGATTGGGCGTGTGTTGGGGTCACCCGGAAGTATGATGAGGCTGCTGAGAGCCAGAGTGTAACCCAGGTGTAGTTGGCAGGCTGTAGCTACATACAGACACTCACAGAAATCACAGGTGTGATTTGCATGCTGGAAGGCTGTTTGTGAGAGGTCCTGGTAGGAGCTACTATCAGCAAGGTATTATAAAGCACTCAAGGTTGCAGGGCAGGAGTGACACAGCCCCTCATTGATCTGGATTGCACCTCAGTATGTCACAATTATATACTAATTTTACACCAAAAATAATCCTTTGTGTCAGATACTAAGAGCTAGATACGCTTTTTCTAAAATTGTATACATGACTTTTCTTTGCTGCGAAGAGCAAAATTTTATTTCTCTCTTCATAATTCTATTTTAGATGAGAAGAAGCAGATGGTTGCAAATGTGGAGAAACAGCTAGAAGAAGCAAGAGAGCTGGTATGTCACAGAATTTCAAATGTTATATGAAAATTCCCGTGGAACAAATAAATGAAAGTACCATTAATATAATATTCAGCATATATTCAGAAATAATGTCCTGTCCATAGTAATGTGAGACTTTTATTAGAATATGAAACACAAGCAGGAAATGTCTCAAACCTTACAATCTTCTGTTAAGTAACATATTCTCTGTACCTTTGTAGTAGACTTTTAGGGGCTTTGAGGTATGTTTTTAGAAATCTGTGTGTGGTAACTTAAAAAATAACCTTTTGTATTTCTGTAATGCCTTAACATTGGAAGATCTTCCAAAGTGCTCTAGAAACCCTAATTAATATGACCTGCCTAATACTCTTGTGAAGTAGATATTGGGTAAATTGAGGCACAGAGCTGTTAAGTGAGATGCTCAATATCTTACTGGGATTTGGTGATAGTACTGGATACTGATCCTAGAAGACATTGTCTAGATATTGGATATACTTTGTTCAAAGTGTTCTACAGAGACACCACATTCCAATAAACAGCTGTGGGGTTTTATAGTATTCCCACTATCAACAGTCATATTTCTTATGTTAAAAAATAGTGCAGAAATTATAAGAAGGAAAAATATAGGTGCTAGAACATTAAATAATGGATTTCAGGTGGTAAATATCCCAATATGTGACTTGGGTGTGCCCAGACTTTCAGGGCAGTTATTTATTGTATGTATTCATGCAGCAAGTTATGTAAGAGGAGTATGTGTGAGTGGGAGAGAGGAAACACTGCTTGTAATAACATCCATGGATGGAAGGCAGTATAAGAGTGCAAATTCTTTTTCTAATGTTTTGTTAAATTTATATCAACATGAGAAATGTAATCTTAGCCTTTCATCAAAGCATTAACTTCTTCTCGTAATATGTAGCATGATGAGAATTTCATCTGTGCCCCTTGTGTGGGAGGTTTGGAGCACTTCAACTAAAGTATACAAGTTTTATTGCTTATATTCTTGTTATGCAGGCTAAAGGCTGGGTTCTGCTTTTGATTGTACACATATGATTCCTACTGACCTCACTGGAAGGCCTGTATTTGCTTCTGGTGGCTGAAATGGGTCCTTATTCTCATGAATTCTCAAGCCAGGCAAAGTCATGGAAGCTCCTAATTGTCGGAACTGTTTTTCCTCCTTCCTCATCTTCCCCAGTATAGCTAATAAGGCTCCCTGTTGAATCCTAGTAATTACTCAGGACAGAGCTTCTTCATAGTAAATGGAAATAAATTTTGTTTTTTGCAAGTCCAGCAAACAAGCTTTGTGGTTCCTCTTTGCCTAAATGTCTGGGGTGCAGTTTAAGTTGCGGCTGAGGGGACAAAGAGATGTGGTATTCAATTGCACCTGAGGTTGGCTTTTTCCATGTGGTGAATAGCAGTTCGCTTGTGGGGGATTTGGGCTCCTTGTTACAATTGGATTATGAGTTTGATCTACTAGTTTCAAAAATATAGCCTGAGCATTAGGCTATGGAGCTGAATTTAGTGATTCCATTCCTAGCCTTTCTAAGTAATTATGTCCGTGACCCCGTTACTGTTTGTTATGAGCACTAATGATGAGTTCTGTTTAAACTGTACGCACTCCAGCACTGGGACCGTGTCATATTCTTGTTATACATTTTATGATACTGTAGAAATGCTTTTTTACTCCTGAGCATGGGGATACAAGAGGGTGATACGGCCAAAGCAAATTCATGGTGTTCACTTACACAGCTGGAGCCCGTGTTTCACAGTCAGATCCCTCCTGTGGATAGAACCATGGGCAGGGACTTGGGAGATTTGGGGTCAATACCAGACTTTCTGTGTAACCTTGGGAAAGTGACCTAATATCTCTGTCTCGGTAGCCTCGTTCAGAAAGGGGGATACTATTATTTCCCTACCTCGCAGGTGTGTTCCAAAGATAAATTAAATGATTGCTAGGTGCTCTGATATGATGATGATGATGATGATGATTGGAGCAATGCAAGTACATAACAGACCTTCTCTCTTCCCTCTCCCTCACAGTATTAGTACAAGGCAATTACATTGTAAGTGTTTCAGTGACAAATCATTCAAATTTGGTTTTCTGTGCCAAGTAATTCTCTATCATTGCTTGTTGAAATGAGCAGAAATTGACTTAATGACTTATTTTTCTCCTTGTGTCATAGTACATACAAATTTGGATGATTTTTTCCCCTGAAGATTAAAAAGAAAATTCTCCTTTAACATTTTTATCCTAATGATGATCTTAATTTAATGTACTGCATTTTTCTTTCACGCTTTTGTTTTTAGATCTCATCGCTAATGCTACTAGACAGGTGCTTAATGCAATTATTGGCTTTAAGCAATTACCTAACATGTCCGTGATTAATGCCAAGGCTTGGATTTAATAATCAATGTGAACAAAAACTGCTAATAACAGAACTGATTTAAAAAGTTTCCTTTTAAAGTAAGGGCTACAATAGAAAAACAAAACAAACCATTGCCCTAAATTGCTACCACTTGTAGTCTTGATACATAGATTTGTTCAGTTGTACTATCTGATCAAAGAACTATCATTGGAACAAACTTTTCTTGTTTTAATTCACTTTATTTTGCTTCCTTCTTGGTAACAGAATTTGTTGACAGTGCTTGAATTTATTTATGATGCCTAAGGGTTAATTGTGTTAACCCATGTTTTCTGCCTTTTAGCTGGGT